TATGGTCAGTGCGATCGTATCTGCTATAACTGTAGGCATGTCAGATGCTAGAATGCGAAGTTACAGTGTTAACATAGTCGAAGTCGAAGTTTCTTGTTCTGCCTGTTGTGTGCCTTATACCTGCTTCGATGTCGTCTTATATGATCGTTGCGAGCTAATATGCTCTAGGAGTATCTATGTGAGATGATAGAATACAGAGATACAGTGTGCAGACTGATGTTGTCGAAGTATCTTCACTTGCCTATTGTTCTCGTTAGATGTCGTCTCATATGATCGTTGCAAACTGATATGCTCCAGAGGTATCCATGTGGGATGGTAGAATACAGAGATACAGTGTGCAGACTGATGTTGTCGAAGTATCTTCACTTGCCTATTGTTTTCGTTTTATGATAAGATAAGATAAGATAAGATAAGATATTCATTTCCAGAAAAAAACAAGTTCTGTAGGAAAGTGCACAGTAGTTGTCCTAAAATGATAGTTGTGCTAGAATGATCATTATATCTGAACATTTTACAAAAAAATATATAAGAATACAAAAAAACACAAGTTCTCAGTGTACCTGAAACAATACAAATCCATTTCGTAGCAATTGAAATTGGTTGATGTATACCATTACACAGATATGCCAAGATTATATAACTCAACGCTCATACTACACATTGACATAAAAATAAAGAAAAAGTTGAGAGTACCTATATCTGAAACAATAAAACTATACAAGTGCCTTTCATAACGCTTTCGGTATACACATATCACATATTATTATCATTGAGAAAATCAAGTACTGAGTAGTATGCTTTATCTATTAGAAGGTTTTTCACTGAACTTTTGAATTTATTAAATGGCATAAACTTATAATCGGTAGGCAGTTTATTGAATAGTTTCGCACTACTGTAATAAACGCTGTTCTCAAAAAACGATGTGTTATGATAAGGAAGTAAGGTCATTTTGTAGCACTGTCGAATTTCGATTTTTGTGACAAAAATATAAAGCTTCAAGAATGTAGAGGAAAGGTAATGTTAAAATTCTCATTTGAATGAAATATTGACGTCACGAAGTACTTCGAGAAAGTCCTAATATTATTCCAATTGCCCTCTTCTGTAGCACAAACACTGATTTCCACATCATTGATTCAGCCCAGAAAAGAATTCCATAGGACATATGAGAGTAAAAATTCGCAAAACAAACCATTTTTAGGGTTTCGATGAATAGACCATTCGCTTTCAAGGTTCTCGAAGCAAAACAACTGCTGCTCAATTTCTTATTGAGGTGTTGAATATGATGTTTCCAGTTCAATTGTGAATCCAATAAGAAACCAAGACATTTACTTTCATCTACAAAGGCTACATTGAAGGCAACATCAACTACATCTAATAAAGGCCTCTGGCAGAAATTTACACAGTGCGTTTTGGAAAAGTTTACACTAATGTTGTTTATTTTGCACGAATCATCTATTGTTATCAATGTCGAGTTCAGATTCAGGGTGGATTCTTGCGGGTTTGAACCATTGATTAGGAATAATGTATCATCGGCAAACATCGTTGTGGAGGCCTGAGGAATATTGCTTGGCAGATCGTTGATATACAGAATGAATAAAAGTGGGCCTAGGATGGATCCTTGTGGTACACCTGTGTTTATATCACCCCAATCAGAATAAACTTTCTTATTCATCCATGTGAGATGAGTAGAATATTCAGGAGAGTTCTGGACCCAGAGCGCTCTATGCTCAATCTGGCTCAAACGGTCATCGAGTTCCTCCAAATGTAGCGATCGACGTTGCAGAGCTCCTGGTGTGTGCACTGAAGAACCCCGACGTCATGCATAACTTAGAATGTATCTAGAGTGCCTGGTTCCTAAATTTTGGTAACATTTTTCGTTGCCAGTCTTTGATCCAGAAATGACCCTGTTTACGTTTCCTATGCCATGATCTCATCAGTATGTTGTGATGAATTCAATAATAATTTGCTAGGTGTGTTTGTTTATCACGCTCGATCATCGATTAACATAATACCATTGCCACTATGCAGACAACAATAACAAAATATCCGTCGTTCCCACGCCTCAATGATCTTATCGCAACAACAACAATAAGTTTGTTCATCGGGCCCTAATGATCTCATCGATAATACCATGACACTATGCACAATCTACCTGTGCGTACCCTGAAGGGGTAATTGATAGCTCGAGTGGTTGGATATTATGTTCTGTATACCGCAGAGGGCGGCAACTAACCAATTATTCGTTAACAGCAAAAGATGGCGGCGATAAAAAGCGAGCAGAGACAGAAACCACTTACTTGTTGTCCTCCTGAAGATCCCTGGAAGAGCTAGCTCTTGTTCTGGAACTGGTGGTCTCTGGCTGAAGTTGTGGAAAACAGCGAAAAGCCGAAAGCGAGGCGATTAAGCGAAGCGCACTAAATAGTCACGATGCGTGGGCGACGAAAAATACCCATTAAAAATCGACAACTTATCACTAGGATGAATAGTCTTAGAATGCTGATAAGGTCACGCATGTCCAAACGTAGGTGGACAAGTGCAAGAGCTTCTGTCTCTTGCAACTTCGCGATATTGCCAAATTTATTGAGAATAATTCCCAAAATAATTATATATTTGGTATACCAAGACCGAATATGCCGCCTCCCCAAAGGCAAGCTAAAGGCTTGCTTTTCCCAAAAAAAAATTATATATGCGGAAAGAAAAAAAAAATCTAACTCTAGATTCATATTTGTTAGAACGAACACGTACACGAACACAAAATATATGAAATATTTATAAAGAAATTATGGCGAGATTGGTAAGGCACATAACTTCACCAACGGACGCTTCAAAGTTTTACCGTTGGCATCTACCACTTCAGCCACACGAGGTACCCTGGATATAACGATTTGATTCTAGCGAGAGGCCATTGCTGCGGAGGAGCAATATCGTTTTTTATAAGAACTAAGGTCCCTTCAAGTATGGGAGTAGACGGATCAAGCCACTTGCTTCTCTGCTGCAATGTATGTAAATATTCCTGGCGGCACCTCTTCCAAAAATCGTGGTGCAGCCTCTGTAGGAGTTGCCAACGCGTCAACCGATTAATGGGAATTGTAGTCAGATCAAGAGTTGGCAAGGCGGTGAGCGGCTCCAAAGTTAAGAAATGCCCTGGAGTCAAGGCAGACATATCGTTGGGATCTGAACTGTGTTGAGTTAAGGGCCGAGAATTTAATATTGACTCTATCAATACCAAAGCTGTATTTAGTTCCTCATAAGAGTCAAGTGAGTCTTGATGGACTCCACCCCTGCCTCCCATAAACCTCCAAAATGAGGGAACAAAGGAGGGTTGAAATGCCATATTAGCAACTCCTTGTGAGCCGCCGAAGCCATAAGTTCTTGGAGTTGACGGTTGGCACCAACAAAATTCGTTCCACAGTTGCTATAGAGGTGCTCCACACGGCCGCGACGCGCGATAAATCTTTGCAAGGCAGATAGGAATGTATCTGAAGAGAGATCACCCGCGAACTCTATGTGAATGGCTTTTGTCGAAAAGCAGACGAAAATGCACACATAGGCCTTGAAGGTCTTAGCGCCCCGATATCGATGCGTTACAATAGAGAATGGGCCGGCAAAGTCGGGCAAAAATTTAAATAATTACAGGGCGAATAATTAGGCTGAATTATTTGGTGGCCGGTTTTTTTTGCCGGTGAGTGTACTTTACATGCAATGCGCGAAGTACCTATGGTCTTCAGGCATCGTTTTACTTTGCGCACTGCTTATTCGCACACATGGCGTCGTGGTAGGAAACTGAAAAAGAGATTCTACTAATTGGATGACAGAGGCATGAGACGTTTGTATTCCATAGACTTTACTAATCTTGATATGAACCGATTCAGGTAGAAGCGAAATCTATTTCTCCAGACAACTAGGTATCTTTACAGATGATCTGTCAAAGTGTCCAAAAGTTACGCTTGCATGGCAGGCTTGATACGCTCATGATATCAGGATTTTTGGATATTACAATTTTTTTTAAAGTGATTATTATCAATTATTTGGACATGATAGTGATCGAAGGTGCGCGGAGCGCTCGTTCGGAAAACACATCGGTGCCCTGTGTACGGATATCTGGGCAAAACGAATTCATGCTGTTGCATCAGGTAAAGTTGTCTTCGATTTCTTGATTATAAATTTGCAATTGTTGACTGTCCTGATGATGTAATCCATTGATTGAATCTCCTTAGCTGCGTCTTCAAGTAGTTGTATTTTTATCTTCAGAGAATATAATATGCTCCAGTGTTCCGAATTTCTTGTCTCAAATGAGCTCTGTGATTTCTAGTAGCGGCGATTTGATGAGGGCAGTTCTTTGTCAATGTCGGGGTCACCAATATGTGATGGTTATCACATTTATTTAACGGAATTCAGTAGAGATATTGATATAAGCAGATATATGATATATATTTGACAAATCTCTAATTAATTTCTTATATGACATATATCAACAACATTGTCCTAGCGACTAATCATATACCAAATGTTCTTTATCAAATAAAAATAAATATGAATGAGGTTGCCCCACAGTTTCTAGCAAAAGTATCGAAAAAAAAATATTTTCGAAAAATCCGTTTTTGCAAGGAATTATTTTTTGATAGCATGATTCTACACATGATTACCTATCTTCCTGACCCAAAAGCAGCTGAGAAGTTTTTTGACAAAGTATCGAAAATTGAATATTTTTTAAATTTTAGTCTTTCATGCCTATGATTTGGTAAAGAATGATTATTCTATAGACTCAGTAGAGGATGATTCGAGACCCAAAAGCAGCTGGGCAGTGCTTTATTATTATACATCGCATCATGGCAAACAAATGCAGTTGAGGAATTTCGATATTCCCTAGGGGGGAAACGTGTGCCACTGGTCGATCGGGAAAGTTCGGAAATTCTGGCAGCCAGCTTTGGCAGCCAACTTCACGTAGATCTGACCGGAATCTTGATTTGACGTCTGTGTTAGTGTGTTCTGTCAATCTGAAAAATAGGGTTATAACATGTTAGAGGTTAGAGGTTCTTAAGAAGCAGAACCCGAATTTTGAAAATTGAAAATACTAGTAGAATAAAATTGAATTTTGTTTTCCTCGATCTGCATAGGATTTCAACGAATCATTCAAGGTAATTATTGTATTGAAATAGTATATCGCAACTCGGAATTATTAATATAATGTTTATTACATGTATAGTTTTTATGTACATGTATGGTAGATGTATAAACTCAACTAAACTAAAAGAATTCACAATTAAATTGTGAATTCAAGAAACTGATTTGTTGATAATAATTCAAATAGACTAATCAGCTTCCAAAGATTCTTAAAGACGGTTTCATAAAACATTTATATCATTACATTTATCACTATATCACTACATTATGATTATAAATTAGAAAAGACAGAGCATAAAAGAACAATGGCTGTGTTCATAAATACACTTACATTACACAAGTCACTAACAAGTTGACCTCTTTTTATCTTCTATAATAATCATTTGAATATTATAATTTAATTGGGCAGGAAGATATTCTTGCTGTTGAATCCACCAAAATTATACTTAATTGTCTGGATCTAGCAACATCCACAAGAATACAAAAAGTCCAAAACTCCTTTATAGATCTAATCTTTGGCATTAAAAGTAAAATACATGTCACTCCTTCTATTACTGAAATTAACATGTTAAAGGACATCTGCACAGCATATGCTGTCAAAGTTCAGTTATGCATATAGGCACAAAAATATGGTGTTACCATAATAACACATCAACATTTTTTGAGGATGACACTGACGTGATATGCCGCTTCCTATTCTTCTTGAATGAAACAGTGGTCTTGCAAGAATATTTTATTGTCAGTGTTCAAATAACTCATACAAAATGTATTAATAGAAATAAATTAAATCAGGCATGCCATGTTTGAAAACACATCCCAACTCATAAGGATTCCCAATACAGTGCTTGCATTGCCAGGGTGCCTTTCTTTGTTCCATGGCAGAACATGGTCTACATCTCTTATAGAATTTATTGTCTTTTATTTTGAATTGTCTGAAAAAGGAATTGCTTTCAAGATGTAATTTTCTGTACCAGGTGAAACATTATAAAGTACCACCCCCTATAACTTGTAATGGCACAAGTTCACATCAATAAATAAATAATCTCAAGATGGCACACACGGTACATTGCCATGAACATGACAACGAAAAAAAAAATGAAATGAAAATATAAATTATTTTGACTCTGACATCAGTCAGAATTATAGAAAGGATATATTTCAAATTAATATTAAAAGGCAACAACCATGCAAACGGCGTGGTTGTAATTTCTGAATCTGATATCTATCAGAAATCCCTGGACGAGGTTCAGCTGTTGTTAGTCGTAACTGTTATCATCTGCATCGTTCCATTTGGCTAAATAGAATCTGTGAGAGGGATTCTCTGCTGCAGAAGACAGCTATATTGAACAGTTCGTTTGCCCAACCATCAACTATCCTTTTGAATCAATACCTACTTCAACTTCATGGTAAGATTGTTACAAGTTTCAATCAACTGCTTTTGAGGGAGTGAAAACTCAGTAATAGTGACCTTTTTCTTGTGCTTCACGACCAATATGGAAAACAGACTATGCTACATATGCTACAGTTCATGATTATTAATTATTATTTCTGTTGATAATGATGATATTGTCATCATATAATCAATCCATTAATTGTTACCACCCAGGTTCAGTTTCATAATCATTCATTTATTCATGCATCCATTCTAGTTCCATTTAGATATAGTTGAATTTGTGAGATTTTTGGTTCTGGCAAAATACGATCTGAAATAGTTCAGTTTGTATGGTTATTGATAATATATCTGTGGATATCCGATATTTGAATCTTTCTACCCAAACCCCATAAATTTATATACAGGAAGAGACATTGCAAACTTTATTATTTTTGACAGTAGAAAAAAATCAAAAAAATTGTCTAACAGGGGTTTCTTTTCCTCATCCAATCAACTGATATATTTTTAATATCTCAGAAGATATACAGGGAGCAAGAAAAAGTGCAAAAATTTTAAATGGACCGCCCTATATTTTCGCGCTATTAGATAGACCTTTCGAAGAGCTTTCTGAAAATACCCCACTCAATACACTTATCTGCAATATTTCTCATAAAATAGACGTTTGAACCTGAAATTCGTTTCTATTCATTTCTGAATGAATAACAACTATTCTATGACTGTAGATAGTATGCCATGAGGTTACCATGAGTAACTGGAAAAATAATGAGGGTTTGTTATGAAATTTTATTGTCATTTCCAGTGAAGATAAATTCCTTCATCATTTATTGTTAATTACCTCCATAATCAATTCTTGAATCATGGTTTATTCAAATGAAGAAAAGCAAGAAATAATAACTTCATTCATAAAAAATAATCAAAACGCATCTGCTGCAAGACATGGCTATGAATTGCGTTTTCCGAATGGTAATATTTCATCAAGGTGAACCATCAAGAACATTTACTTAAAGTTTAGGAGGACTTCCAATTTACAACGAAAAAAAAAACATGTTAGTTATGATGAAAATCATGAATTGAATATCTTACTGAATCATATAGAGAATCCGAAAAAATCATTGAGGACTTCGGCAAAAGAATTAAACGCATGTTTTGGACCACATAAAAATTTGAAAAAATATATATTCAGACCTTATAAATTCCATACGGTACAAAAATTGACAGAGATTCATAGAAATCAAAGACTGAATTTTTGCAACTTGATGTTTGAATAGATTGAATAATGATAGAAAATGTTAATTTCCGGAAAAAAAAAAGATATTTATTCTCATATGGTAATTCTTCAACAATATAATCATGTATCACATTTCTTATAAGAATGTGCGTCTGCTATGTTTAATGATTAGTAACTGATTTTCACTATTTCAGTATTATCAACTGAATTTATAATAAAGATAATCAACGGTTCACAATAGAGTTCAAGAAATAGTAATAATGTAATTATGAAATCAAATCTAATGCCATGCAATACATACAATACTATCATAACAGACCTAATCAGTAGGAAATTTTGTTATTTAGCAACCAGAAAATTATATTTTTTGTTCTACTTGTAAGGACGATTTTTAAATTGTGAGGGTATGATATTGAATATTTTTGGCGCAATATAATGAAGTGATCTCTGTATTGATGTAAAGGATGTGTTAGGAAATGTGACGTATTTCAGACTTATAGCTCCGGTAGTAATAGGATGCGAATTTTTTTGCATTATATACTTATTATTGAGTATTACTCTACAAACATTTTTTATGTGTAAATGTTCAAGATTCAGAACTCTAGCCTCGTCAAACACTTGCTCTGTGGAGAACTTTCTGTTTTTAAATAATATGATTTTTAGGACTCTTTTCTGGGCTATTATTAGTGGGGACAGAACATATTCACAGGCTGAGCCCCATGCAACAATACCATAGATTAGAACCGACTCTGCTAAGGCCCTGTATACAGGGTCATTCCGTATGTTTAAACAGCTTTTACAGGGTTTATCATTGAAGGTAGAGAAAAACTTCGAATGCAAAAGTTGTAGGGTTTGTTCTGAACCTCCAGAAAATTATACTAGATGAAACAATTGAATATCGCTGATATAAGCAATAGGTACACGCTTAGTTATCTTCAATGGAACACCCTATATATTTTTCGAAAAAATTCAAGATCTTTTCTTCTAGATTCCAAAAATATATTGGTCATCGATATTTGGTTCAGCTGTTTTCAAGATATTCGAGGTTCAGCATTTAGATTTAGTTTTAATTTGATTTCCCCAAATCGCAATTGCCATGTAGAAAAAACAACACATAAGCAAGTTGTCATCAATAAAAGGTTCTGTCATATGTTCATTGCATAGAATTCCGGAAGAAACTCGAGAAGAAATATGGGTTTCAGTGAAGATGAAAAGTTTGAAATGATTCGTTTATTCTACAAAAATAATAATAATGCAGTGGAAGCTCGAACGGAGTATCAAAGCATTCATCCTGGAATGGCAGTTCCTTCCAGAAGTACGTTTTATTTCACTGCGAGGAGTATGCGAGAACGAAGAAGTCTTCAAAGAAAAATACGCACTCTTATTACTGATGAAGATGGAGAATTGGAAATATTGCTTTATTTCCAAGGTAGATTAAACATTGAATTACTTATGTGTTCATGAAAAATATAATTATTTTTAGAAAATTCCACTTATTCCACTATGGATGCATCTAATCATATTAGCAAAAGTACTGAAAAAATTGTATCTGTCCTACATGAATACGGATATCACCCATTCAAAATTATGCCAGTGCAAAAGCTCACAGACAATCATAAAATGATGCTGAGAAAAGACGAGGATGTAATGACTTTTTTAAGAAGGTTTTATGGACTGACGAGGCATCGTTTACCACCGCCGGTGTTTATAATCGAAAAATCACCCATATCTGGTCAACTCATAATCCACATGGATATGAAGAGATTTAGCACCAGGGTCGCAAATCCCTCAATGTCTGGTGTGGTATTTTGAAAAGCCAAGTGACTGGGCCAATTTCCTTTAAGAGTTCTCTAGCAGGAGATAGGTATTTGCAGTTTTTAAACAATGAGATTGAAGATCTGTTGTCTGTTGGAAAACCTCCCACTCAGGCAGTATAATGAATTGATCTGGCATCAGGATGGTGCGCCACCTCATCAAGTTATGCCCGAACGGCATCACTTGAATGATCGTTATCAAACGTGGATCGAAAAATTTGGAACAGTGGAATGACCGCCGAACAGTCCAGATTTAACACCTTTAGATAACTTCCTATGGGGCCATTTGAAGAATGAAGTGTATAAGGAAAGAAGTTACAATTTAGCTGATTTGAGAGGAAGAATTTTGGGATGCATTAACATATTGAACAATCATCACTCCAACTTCATTTGCAATTCGATAAATAAATTGGATAAAGACTACAGAAAATCTATACAAAACAATGGTGGTCACATCGAACATCTGTGAAATTGTATCTCCTTCAGTTATAAAAGTGCATTTTTTTTTCTTTCATGGCAGTTGCGATTTGGTAAAATCTAAAATGTTCAACCTTGAATATCTCAAAAAAGGCTGAACCA